TAGCACATTTATGTAATATCATAGAGGACTGAAGTTACATCAGGATTAGACCTGCAGAGCTAATCTCATAAACCAGTGCTTTAGTCAGGCATTTCCTTCACCTTGGCTATTAGACAAAAATCAATAGGGCTACAATCCTGTGCTTATGTTAGGAGCAAATAAATGGAACTCAATAGAACTTACTTATGCATAGATATATATAACATGTGTGCAGGGGTGGGGAACCTAGAGCTCTGCGCCTGCAGAGTGTACCAGCCTAGTCCACAGAAGGATGCATTGAACTCAAGATCCATTGGCTGGTACAGGGAGATTTTGGTACATGTTGCTGGCTTACCCAATTGGGAAAGTAAGAGGCATGTAAAGGAGTTCTGTAATCTTCACTTGCAGAATGGAGATAACAGCAAGCTTTTCCCCATCACACTCTCACTGTTCACCCTCCCAACTGTGTAGGAGAGTCCTGACTGTTCCCTCTAGTCAGTTATTGGGGAAACAGTTAGAATTTCCACCCTGAATCCTCCCTAGTGCAGTGCTCTTATAATTGGCTCCTCTGTTGGGATACATTCATTGTGGGTGAACTTCCCTTTCTTGAGAAAGTCGTGTGCAGCAATGGTGGCTCCCTAGATGGAAATTGGGAAGGGATGATATAAAAGGTTGTCTCCTCCAAATAAGGATCCTCACTCTGATACATAGGGTTGCATTGCTAATCGTTGTGGCATTTTTGTTTGTGTTTTTGCAAGACTGAAATAGGCAGGCATTAAAATCGTTCCCCTTTTACTGCTCCCTGAACAACTGCAAAATATTTTATATTTTGCATTTTATGTCCATATTTGTTTAAAGATCTGTCTCAATGGAGTTCATAGAATCTTTTTTTAAAAGGTAATATTCTTTGATAACTTTAGAAAATAATCCTGTCTTTTAAAACTTCAAGTTCAATATTTTTGGTCATTACTCTCCTAGTTTGTTTTTTCCTCTCCCCACCTTCAGAGCCGGGATGGCTCCTTGGTATACATCTGAGCTGCGGGCAATGAAGCAAGTGGGGTTTTTTCCTCTCTCCACCTGCAGAGCCGGGATGGCTCCTTGGTATACATCTGAGCTGCGGGCAATGAAGCGAGTGGGGAGACGGCTAGAACACAGGTGGAGGAAATCGCATTGTGAACCTGGCCAAACACAACTTAGAGCCCATTATCGGGCCTATTCCATGGCAATTCGGCTGGCGAAATGACAGTATTTCGCGACCCGTTTTTTCCTCTCTCCACCTGCAGAGCCGGGATGGCTCCTTGGTATACATCTGAGCTGCGGGCAATGAAGCGAGTGGGGAGACGGCTAGAACACAGGTGGAGGAAATCGCATTGTGAACCTGGCCAAACACAACTTAGAGCCCATTATCGGGCCTATTCCATGGCAATTCGGCTGGCGAAATGACAGTATTTCGCGACCCGCATTGCTTCCTCAGAATGTCTTCCACACAGGGGGAGGAAATCACGCTGTGAACCTGACCGAACACAACTTAGAGCCCATTATTGGGCCTATTCCATGGCAATTCGGCCGGCGAAATGACAGTATTTCACCACCCGCATTGCTTCCTCAGAATGTCTTCCAGCAGAGCTGTTTCGGGTACTCCGTGATCTCCTCCAGCCAGGAGAGCTGGTGGGGACACAGGGCCACTCAGCAGCTCACTGTGAGGAATTTACTTTACATTTTGAGGGGAAAATCACTCAGATTCACAAAAATCACTCTGATTCACAGTGAGCTGGACTCCACCTTTGATAGAGAATCAGAGGATGTGTCCAGTGCACCGGGCTTAGGTCAAATTTTAATGGATGAATTTCAGTACCTTTGATGGAGAATCGGAGGGTGTGTCCAGTGCACCGGGCATAGGTCAAATTTTAATGGATGAATTTCAGTTATTGAGACCCGATGATGTGGACAGGGTGCTTGGATCTGTCCAGTTTACCACCACTCCGCTCGACCCTTGCCCATCTTGGCTAATTGGGAAATCTACCAGGGGGATTCGTACATGGGTCTAGGAAGCCGTCAACTCCTCCTTGAGAGAGGGAGTGGTCCCTACCACCTTGAAAGAGGCGGTGATTCGACAACTCCTTTAAAAACCTAATCTGGACCCAGAGCCAGTGGCTAACTATCAGCCGGTGGTGAATCTCCCTTATTTTGGCAAGGTGTTGGAGCGCGTGGTGGCTGGGCAACTTCAGGCGCTGCTGGATGAAACAGATTTTCTAGGTCCATTTCAATCGGACTTCAAGCCAGGTGTCCGCATGGAGACTGCCTAGGTCGCTCTGTATGATGACCTTTGTCAGGAGAGAGACAAGGGGACTGTGACCCTGTTGATAGGCTTCAAGCCAGTCAGCATGGAGACTGCCTAGGTCGCTCTATATGATGATTTTTGCCGGGAGAGAGACAAGGGGACTGTGACCCTTTTGATACTCCTGGACCTCTCAGCAGCTTTCGACACCATCGACCATGGTATCCTTCTGGACAGATTAGCTGGGTTGGGAGTTGGGGGTACTGTTTCATGGTGGTTCCACTCCTTTCTGGCTGACCATGTTCAGAAGGTGATGCTGAGGGACAATGGCTTGGCCCCATTGCGGTTATGCCATGGGGTTCCTCAAGGCTCAATATTGTCCCCCATGCTGTTCAACATCTCCCATTGGGAGAGGTCATCAGGAGGTTTGGGCTGAGGAGTCACCAATATGCTGATGACACTGAGCTCTACCTCTCTTTTTTCCACCAATCCAGGTGAGGCAGTCTCTAAACTGGTGTCTGGACCTGATGAGGACTGGATGAGGGTTAATACATTTAAGCTTAATACAGACAAGATGGAAGTCCTGTTATTGGGTGGATTGTCAGACAGGTTAAAGGGCCATTTTTTGCAAGAGAACATATTCAGCCAATTTTGGCCAGGTTACACTGGCTACCAGTTGTTGCCCGGGCCCAATTCAAAGTGCTTGTTTTGACATATAAAGCCCTAAACGGTTTGGGCCCTGGATACCTGAAGGACCGCCTCCTTCCATATGAACCTAACCAGCAACTGAGATCTAACCGTTTATAATTATAATACCAATTTTCTTGATATTCTGACTCATACTATTTCTATATTTAAGACATATTAACTTTTTTTAAAATTCCGTTTTATGTAATTGATACTACAGTATTTGCAGTTAAGCCTCTGGTTAAATGGATAGCTAAATATATGAGTGGTACTTTTTAGTATTGGTTTAAAGAGCCTACTATTTGCTAGGAAAAAGTTAAAGGCAGCAGGAAAAGAGGAAGACCAAATAAGAAATCGATTGACTACATCAAGGAAGCCACCTTGAGTTTAGAAGAGCTGAGCAGGGCTATTGAGGATACAACATTTTGGAGATCACTCATTCATAGGGTCACCATAAGTTGGAGGTGAGTTGACAGCATGTAACAACAACAGTTTACTATTGTCTCCTCAGACAGCAGTGATTCTCTGGAGCAGAGTCTGGAAACGTTACTTTTTGGATCACTGCTCCCAGAATATTTCAGCCACCATGGCCATTGGCCATGCTGGCTTATGGATTTTGGTATTTGTCTTCCAAGAGGAAACATTTTTAAACTCCACTCAAGAGTTTTGACAAGTCTCTCCTAGGTTTGATATCCAAAACCTTTTGTAGCTAGAGATGCTGGGGACTGAATGTGACTCCATCTGCCAGCACAAAAAAGTTCCTTTTACAATGCTATGGATTCCCCATGTACTGTTGAATCATCATGCAAAGCAAAGCAGCTTTGAAATTATAGCTGGGAAATAACTCTGTACCTGAGAGGTCTGTCTTAATGAGATTCTAAATATTGTTTTTCTTGACCGTAATATTGTTTTTCTTGACTGTAATTACCAGAATGATTTATTGCTCAATAGACAGATCTGAATATGGAAGAATCCACAGAGGACCTAATGGAGCCTTGTTCTCCCTCCAACGTCTCTGTCAGCCCTTGGCTAGGCACAAGCAGTGCAGGGCTGGGTGCATTGCACTTTGACCAATCACTGCTTACAATTAGAAAAAAAGGGCCTGCACTTCTCCCATATATAAATCCTCCAACCTCATTCTTCCCCAGTGCCTTCTTTAAAATCAGCAGAACCCTTAAAAGTCAAATTTCATAAATGCAGTCACTTGGAAGAATTGTCATATTGCAATGAAGCACTTATCTCATTGCATCTGATTAAAGATAACTTTATGGTCCCTTTAAGTCAGTTTGGAATCTGTAATCATAATAATATGATATGTCTCCATTATCATGGTTCCGATATTGTTAATGATGGAATTTGAAGGTGAAAGGTGACTGAGTTTTCATGTAATGATGACTACATCGCTTCTGACAGTTTCTGTGTGCCAAAAATTATGGCTTGTCACTTTTGCCAGTTTTCACACTGGCACAGAATAAAGTGTGCACAAAAATGCAGGCAATTTGGAAGCATTGTTTTTGTAATAAGAGACATAATATTTGCTCTAGATTAGCAGAACTGTATGTCATCATGGGCTGTATCTTAGAGAATATTCATGTTTCATTAGCTGTATATTGGAATGTGAAGTATATCACAAAAACACTGATAGATTCCAAGCTGATATTGGAAATGCAAAAAAGACTACAATGTCCTTGTTTATTTTCTTGTCTATTTCAAGTGCAGGAAGGGATGCAACGTTAATCTAAGCAATTAAAAAAATCAATTTAGGAAGTAGATCATTGGAAACCAAGCCTGGGTTATTTTTTATTAAGTTCCAACTGCTCGGTGCATACCAAAATATAGCAAATATTTGAAAGACACCTGATAGCCCCTGATTAACTGCACAGCTCACTAGAGTCCCAAGAGTATGTCAGAAGCATCTAGGGCTTAATCCAAAAGGATTAGGCGCTATGGCAGAGTAGCAACAGAAACATATGAAAGATCTCCTGTTTCTCCCCCTTTATGGCGCATATTATTGGCTGAAATTGCTTACACACAGTTTTTCTTTGTGCATTTTCAGGGGTCAGAGTCCAGCTGTTGCTGAATTTAATTTATTGTTGAAAGCACATTCTTTAGAAACCTATGGTGTTGATCCCCATCCCTGCAAGGTAATTAATTATTTTTTAAAAAATAAAGCAGTAGTATTTTTTCATTTTCAGGACCTGATCCAGTCCCTCCTCTCCAAATCCCATTTGGCATATCTGTTCCTATGTGAATGCAGCTCTCTGTGTGCAGAAAAGTTACTCAGGCCAGAATCCTATTGGTCTTGTACAGCATAAAGTCAAAAGTATGTAACTGGTGTGCACACTTGTTCTACCTGTCTGTCATGAGCTTAGATGTACCCACGTTGTGCACTTGACTGCATGCCTGAGCACTTAATAGAGGGCCAGAAAAGAGTAAATATTACTTCTGCAATTTCACTTACATGCATGTATTTTGCAATAAGATGTTGGTCTCAGATTCTTTAGCCAACATAGACCTTTGCCATGCTGGATGAGATATTCTGCAATTTGTAGTCCAAAGACATAATGTTTTCAGGTTCCGAATAGGATGGTTGGTGAGAAAGAATGTCAATGAAAGAAAATGTTTGGAGGAGCATACTTCAAAAACAGAAGGGAATTGGATCATTATATTAGCAAATACTGTAAAGAGACAAGTATGTAGTAAAGTATGTTATGTTGGTAAACCAATGTTGTTGGACTGTCACAAGTTCCCCATCTTTGATTATGCAGTAATTAAGCCTTCTCTTTTTCTGTTATATGAGAAAGCCATCTGGATATGGACAGACAATTTGAATATGTATTTGATTAATATAGTAAAACAAAACACATGTTACATCTAGTTTAATAGCATTTGTTACCATATTTTTCCATGTATAAAATGACACTTTTCCCTAAAATCATTAGAGGAAAAATTGAGGGTCATTTTATACACGGAGGGAGCGGAGGCGGAGGCAAAGGAGAAGCCGCACTCATCCGCCTCTCACGGCTGCCCTCCAGTGCGACTTGCTGGGGCTCATCTCCAGCTCATGTCGCCACCTTGTCCCCTGCCCAAGGGGAGCCCACAAGTGAAGCGAGGGGAGGTGATCTGGCGGCACCAGTGGTGGCGGTCAATGGGCAACAGTGAGAGGCGGCTAAGCATGGCTGCTTCTTTGCCTCTGCTGCTGCTGAGCCTGCGAATGGCACTGGGGGAGGCAATCAATTGGCAGAGGCAGCAGGAGGCGGAGACAGCAGCTGCGCTCGGCGACTTCTTGCTGCTGCCCATTGACTGCTGCTGCCAGATCGCCTCTTCCAGCACCGTTCACAGGCTCCCTTCAGACAGGGGACAAGGCAGTGACGTGATCTGGAGGTGAACCCTGGCAAGTCTCACTGGAGGAGACAATTGTGTGGCGGAGGCAGCAACAGCAGGAGATGGAGACGGAGGAGCAGCTGTGCTGGGCTGCCCCTCGCGGCAGTCCATTGACTGCTTCTCTGCCTCTGGCAAGGGACAAAATTAGGGGGTCGTCTTATACATTGGGAGGATTGTATACACCAGAGGTCCCCAACCCCCAGTCCGTGACCCGGCAGCAGTCCACAGTCTAGACAGAACCAGGCTGCAGAAACAGATCTCCTGCCCCCCTGCAAGTGCCCTCGTGAGCCGCACTAGCACTCCCCTGCAAGCGCACTATGCACATGCATGCCATACCCCTCTGTGAGTGCACCACCCCCCTGCAAGTATGCCATGCCCCTGCAAGCGTGCCATGCCCCCCACAAGCATGCCACACACTCCAAAAAAATGGTCCGTGGTTGGGAAAAGGTTGGGGACCACTGGTACTTGGAAAAATATGGTATATTTCATTTTTTATTATTTCTGTAAGTTTTTCTGGCATATTCACAAAGTAGTTTGTGCAGGTATTGCAGGATGGTACTTGGCTCTCAGCATCAACATTTGCCATAAACTGAGATTTGCAAAAGGAATTCACATCCTTAAATGTAATCCAATCTGGTTCAATGCTACTAAGTCAGTTCAAGTGGCAGGGTATTATTTTAAATGGTTTCTTGGTCACACAACAATTACATGAAGCCACATGCACTGTGTTTTGTTAATGCTGTTTAGGTATCTGTCACTTAGTGGTGTTTCAAACTGGAGCCCAGGGATTATAGTAGATGTGTTCCCTGCAGTTTTGATTTGGAGCACCAGGTGTACCTTTGGAGGAAAAAAAAAAGACATGAAGACATATGCTTAGCCCCTTCCAAACCTCTCAGTTGTCCCCAGCAAATGGTCCCTTTGTTAATTCAAAAGCCATTCTCTCCAGTGGGCATCTGAAACTGACATTGAACCTGTTTCAGCAAACAGAAAACTATGGAAGAAAAATGGCATTAGGAACCCACAGGTACTATTGGCATGGGTAAGTGCTTTTGCTGGGACATTTAAATAGGCCTAGTAACAAGACAATAGTGTTCATTCAGATGGTGGAATGATCTTTCATTTGCAGTTAATATGAGTCCTAAATCCTTGTTTAACCTGCAACAATGCAGGTGTTTTTCAGGGACAGCCTCCAGCACCGATGCATGTGTAGCAACATACCTTAGGGTCAGAACAGATAGAGTTGGCCAATTAATCAGAAGAGGAGTAAACCTAAGAGGTTAAATTTATTTTTGGTCCTATTCCTATTGCTTTACAGTTAGCTAGCTTTTGTCTAAGGGACGTGGTGGCAGAAGACCAGCAGTCGTAAGATCGAATCCACGTGATGGAGTGAGCTTCTTTCACTTGTCTCAGCTCCTCGCCAACCTTGCAGTTCAAAAGCATGTAAAAATGCAAGTAAATAAATAGGTACCACCTTGGTGGGAAGGTAACGGCATTCTGTGTCTAATTGCACTGGCCACGTGACCATGGAAGATTGTCTACAGACAAAACGTTGGCTCTACGTACATGGGTCCAGGAAGCGGGGATGAGCACCACGCCCTAGAGTCAGACACAACTGGACTAAATGTCAAGGGGAACCTTTACCTTCACCTAGCTTTTGTCTTGAGATTGGTCACGAGGAACTAAGCCCCACTTTAGATTTCAAGTGCGATTGTTCCGTCTTAAAAAACCATAGAATCATGGTTCAGTAAGGGAAACATTTTATTATCTTTTGCTCAACAGAAAAACCGTTTCTGCATCCTAATTGTTTCTTCTGAAGTGTACTTCGCTGTGAATTAAACTGACTTAAACCCAAACCCCACACAGAAAATATTAGGAAAGGTGCTTCCAAACAAATTCCTAAGATATACAAGGTTAGCACTAATACAGTAGTCTGAAAGAAGAACTGTTCCATTATTTTTCCGAAGTAATACATTGCAGAGGCGAGAAAAGTTACTTCATTTGAACTACAGCTTCTAGAACCTCAGCCAGCCTAGTTTGCTGAATAGTTTATTTTAAGAGCTGTACTCCAAAAAGGTAACTTCCCTAAGACCATCTTTGGTATAGTGTGCCATATCTTCAACTTTGCTTTCCTGCTTACTACTCTGAACATGTATCTACATGGATACCTGAAGTAATGCTAATGTCTCTTTAGGAACCTGCAGTGTGCTAATGTAATATGTGTATTTGCATTACTTTTTGCTTTCAGATTAAAGTTTGATTTCTAAAAATCACACATGATCAATTTTACCTCCACCCGCCAAACTGGTGTATCAGAAAGTACCATTAAAATGTAATTGCCCTTGTTATAAGATAAAACAGTTCTCAATTTCTGAAACACATGGAAAACCAACTGAAAAACAAATTCACAGGATCTGCCTTCCTTTGACATATGTAAGGTCAAACAAATAACTTTTTGCATGTTTGCATTTCCTTCAAAATATTTTCCATTTATTTTGTTGTTGTTTTCTTATTTCAAGGACTCGACAGGGACCACCACGTTTTTGGGATTCACAGCCATAGGTTTTGTAGTTTTCCAGGGAAATAAAAGGATACATTTGCTAAAATGGTGAGCTCTTATCCTCACAGTTATTAATGGAAGAATATATGTTTCATTTTTTTGTTTTTCAGAAAACTTTATTCAGAAAACCTGTTTTCACCTAAATTCTTATATTGACTGCCTGCTGTTCTATACTTTCTTATTTTATGAATAGACTTGCATAGGATTGTAGTATAAGCAAAGTAAGGTTTGTTTCACTATAGTTTCCATTTGACACTTGTCCACATTTAAAACCAAGCATTTGTCCATACATTGCAACTTAGTTGAAAATGGGGTCAAAAACAAACCAACTAATCAGGGCTGGTCCAAGATATTTTGCTACGTGTGATAGAACAGCAAATGGCCCTCTTTCCAAGTCATGGTGAAACTGAAGTCCAACCAAATTATTTTGGCTGGGTTTTTTAAAATCTTTTTCCTCCTCTGCAACTGCTTAATAATGTTTAGAGAAAAAAAAATCACAACATGTTATATTTACCTATGCTTTGGTAACATTGCTAAGAAATGACCATTTGTTGTCAGGAACCCTTCCTGAAATAGCAACCTGGAAGAGTCAGTGCAGACTATCATTGCCAGAGGACAACATAGTGTCCAGTGCCTAGCCAGACCTGAGCAATGGCTCAGAATCACCAGACCAGGGGTTCGTGAACATGAGAGAATAGCTCTGAATGCATGCCTATGGAGCCTGCTGCCCCCTCCCCCAAGGGACCTGGATCCCTTCTTGCCAGAGACCCACATATTTTTGACAAGGCAAGTATGGGCCCAGGGTGCTAGGCTTTGAGGCAGAGGCCTGTCCCTTTAAGCCTTTTCTCGTTAGAGCTATTCTTAGTCTACTATGCCCTGTGATACTTGTGTGCAACCAGCATAACTTGCCCTGTACATCCTTTTCCAATTATCATCACACGAGCTAGGGAAAGATGTGAGGGTTGTTTGTGTATTACATATGAAGGGAATTTCAAACAGCTTAGGCTATTTCATATTCTTGTTCTGCCTTCTTACTCTAAGAAGAAAACAGCCTCTGATCCCAGCTGGTTGCTGCATGATCTCATCACATGTCTCAAGAAAGAATTGGGCTCATCTGCTGCAATAATATCCTGGCTGAAATCCTGTTGCCTAAGTTAGACTGTTTAAGACTAGTGATGTCATCAGCTTTAGTGATTTTTCAGAAATAAAACATACAGTTTCTTCACGGAAAGTCTCAAGGGACTCTCCCATGGAGTACCTTTCCTCATAAGAAAGCTGTTGGGGGTTGTATGTATCACCAGTAAAATCATCATGTTGGCAGCAATTTTGGTGAATTAAAGCCTCCCTCCTCATCCTGCAGGCCTCAATGGTCTCTCAGCAATGAAAAGGATTCTACAGAAGCCATGGGAACTTTGGGGGAGAATTTGGAAATGTTTTATTTTTTTAAAATGGCGAATGACATTTGTGACAATTTTGCCCTTCCATAAACCTCCATGTATACAGTATATATACCTATAACTTAACGATCCTGATTTTGCATATGAAGAGTTTTGAATACCTGTGTAGTATATATACAGTGGGCCCTCGACTTACGAACTTAATCCGTTCTGGAACGACGTTCGCACCTCGGAAAGTTTGTAAGTTGACCTACCATTTCCCATTGAAATGCATGGGAATGGAATTAATCCGTTCCAGCATTTCAGAAAAATACAAAAATAAAAATAAAAAGAGCAAGTCCCACGTTAGGACTGCAACACACACACACACAAACACAAACACACACACAACCCCCCAGTCCAAACCCACCCTCCAAAACCAACACAGAAAAGCTTTTAAAAAAAGGACTTACTAGTCCGAAGCCTCCTCCGATGTCCACCATCTTACTATTTGCAATGAGATCGGATTCGTAACCCGAAAAGTTCGCATGTAGGGCCGTTCGTAAGTCGAGGGCAGAATGCTAGTGTGATTGGCAGTTCAGTGCTGATTGGCGGGTGTGATTGGAATGCAGTGAGGTAGAGTTCAGTCTGTGAGGTTGGTCTTCACAGTCAAGTCCAGTCTCAAATTCACCACTGAAGGTGCTACATTTAAAGAAGTTAGAACTGAAACTCTGATATAGAAAAAGTCTGTTTTAGAGACAGTCAGGAGAAGTAGTTTGTGCTATAGTTTGTTAGAAAAAGTCTGTCTTGAGAGCCTAGAATATGTGTATCAGAATGCCAGAGAGTTTATAAAGAAGTTATTTTGATCTTGAATTTCAGAAAGAATTTTACATTTTACTGTTCTTTTGACTTTTGTCACTCATCTTAGAAACCCATTTTTCTCTACATACCTATTACCAGTGGTTCTCCCATTAAAACTGTTTTTGTTTGTTTAAATCAAACTCTCCTTGTTATTTTCTGTGTAACTAAAAGTTAAGCAGACTAAAAGAAAGAATGATATATCCAAGCTACACAAAGCTGTCTATTACCAGCGGGAAAAAAGTGTTTAACTAAAATAGAAAAGCATTTGCTACACACCTAAATAAAAGATACCAGCTTTGTGCAAGGAGGCTGTGGCTGGGTCAGAATGGAAGGAGCAACCACAAAATACTTGGCTGAGTTGAATGCTTTCCCTAGTGGCACTAAGAAGTGGTGGCTAGGTTTTATGTGTTAAAAAGTACCAAGGAGGTGCCTGCGACTGCTTGAGGGGTGTGTGAACCTCCAGTGTGAGAATTATAGGAAAAGTGACTGCTGCCTCCAGAAGCAAAGTCACTGCAACATCATCAGCTTTATGTGGAGTAACTTACATCAACAATACTTTAGCCATCGTCTTTTGTAAAGTGTGGTATGCTGTGGACCACACATTTATTTTTCTCTTTGTCAATTGCAAGAGAATCATGCATGCTCAATAATCTTTCCAAATTGAGAGTAAAATCTACCCTGTGCAGCTGATTCTAATTTCCTTCACAGTCAAGTCCAGTCTCAAATTTACCACTGAAGGTACTACATCTTCACTTCTGCTTGTGAAAGTGACCTTGCTGTATTAATGTAGCTGCACTGGCTTAAAGTACATGGAAGTGATAAGCTTAGTAGAATTCTAGATGTCTAGAAATTGGATCAACCCCGCATTTCATTTTATTTGCTTGCTATCACACAAGTGTAAAGAGAAGTAGTAATCTGTGCCATATGTGTGCAGGATTTTAAGTAGAATAAGTCTGAAAGATATGGAAAGGGAAGACTTTATTACTAATTACAAATACCTGCTTGTATGAAGAATACTATACCATCTTTTCTGTTGTAATATAATTAATATTAAATTGCCAGATTTATGTGTGTGTGTTTTCCCATATCCTTTAAATGCTGAAATCATGTTGCTTAGTGTAGTGAGTGACACTAGAGTAGGCCCATTGAATCAGTGGAGATTTGGAAACTCAATTCTTCCATAAGTCTCATTTATTGAAATAAGCCTAATCTAGTTGCAGCTTACTATGTTGGAAATGTTTTATTTTACAAAAATGGTGGATGACATTTGTGACAATTCTGCCCTTCCATAAACCTCTGTGCATACAGTATATGTATCTATAAATTGGCTATGCTAATTTTGCATATGAAGTGTTTTGAATGTCTGTGTAATGTATATATGAGCAGAGTTCTAGTAAATCACAACTAATTAAGTCATCAAAATCCCCATGATTAAATGGGTCTACTCTAGTGTTACTATGCTAAGCAACAGGATTTCAGCCAAAGGTTCCAATCCTAAGCAACAGGATTCAGCCAAAGGACCCAGTCTCCCACTAAAGTTGAACAGTAGTAATGAAAAAATACATTTTGGGTTATTTCTCTATGAGTTTTAGGAATAGAAATATATATTATGTATCTGGGTGAAAATCCATCATCTTCCAGACAATATAGTACTGTGTTTCTATTAGAATACTGTACTTGTATCCCAAAACTTCAGAACATTCTGTGGTGTAAACAATCGTTCATTAACGTTGTTTTACCTCAAATGAAGACCTACAAAATATTTTTCCTCTTTATTATTTCTTATTTATGCTGTCCATTGCTTTACAGACTTACAATCCATTTTATAAAAAAATTAAAGAAATTAAACGCTCAACATTTCAAGTATATTGAACTATTCTGTTCACTTTGTGCTATTAGTTTTTAATAAGTTATCTCCTTATCTTCTATGCTGAAGAATAATTCATTGCACTTATTTTCATTGTTTATGGATTGGTTACAGATGCATGAAACTGCCAAATGTTAAAACTGTCATTTATTTTCCTCATTTAAAGGGCTTTCTTTTTATAGGTCTGATGTCTGTAAACTGAAGTTTGAAGGGAAGACATTCTATGTTATTGGAATTCAGAAGGAGGTTGGATGTTTTATGTCTTCTGTTCTAAACAATTTAAATTTTAAATTTGGGCATTTTCTGTTAGGTAATGTAAATGTCTATTTTGCTCTTACAAAACAGATTTGTGCCTTATGTATTGGAATGGTCCACTTAATGATTTAAATAAGTATAGATGTTCTTTGAGCAAAAGTATTCTCATTTTAGACAAAGAAAAATACAGCTGAAAAATGTCTCAGAAATGTATATCTATACTACCCACTGCAGAAAATTGTTCTTTACATCTAATTTTAAATATTCTGATTATGTGATTTATATTTAAGTTGAAGGAATGGACCAGAATCCTTCCTAGGTGGGTGGGTATAGTGTGGTCCTTGAGAGGCTATGGGCTTCACCACTCATCAGCCCTAGCCAGATGGCCAGTGGTGAAGAATGCTGAGTGTTGCAATCCAGGAATATCTGGTGGGTGGCAATTTTCTCAGCCTGCTTCACAGAAAAATATGAAATAATTCCAAAAATGAAATCGTGGAAGAACTATTAAGATTTGGTTCATTCAAATTATCCTTCACTGGATTTTTTAAAAAACCCTGTTATCAAAACTGGGAGAACTTTCTAGGAAAGGGACAAGATGCTAGGATCTCCCCAAGATATTCTAATACTCTTTTGTAATGGAGGATGCTGGGGAAGGGGAAGGGAAGGGAACTGGGCATCTAGAACAAGACAATGAGAATAGGTGTTAGATTAAGACTTCAGGAAAGACTGAATAACAATAATAGGGTGGGGAGGATACATTGAATCCTAGATATAAGACTTTTGAACCAAGCCAGTGGATAATCGAGTTCATTTTTCAGAATTCTTAAGCGATGATGCTTTGTGATGGGGAGGTGATATCCCCCTCAAGTTATGCAGTGAGGTACCTCTCCTGTCCCAGTCCATGAACTGCTCATATTCTCATTGGGATAGGTTCTATCCTTCTTTACCTAGCAGGAACAAATGTCCTTCACAGCCTAAGTGAAAATGATGCCTTTAATCCAGCAAAGTCTTAAATAAACCTTTTTCTATTTCTTTTTAATTTTTCATCAAATATGTAGAAAAAGGCCATGTTGTCATTCCATACCTCTACACCAGCAGCCTGCAAGCATCTTTGGAAGTGTGGAGTGGAAAACCAGGCATTTTACAAGTAAGAAAATCTAATGTAATTGCAGCGTTGTCGCAGAGTATAGATGAGCAGAGAGAACCACGTAAATTGACAGCCCTTTCATGTTAAATGAGCCATGTTATAAAGTCAAGAGGTACTTTGATTCTTCTGTAGATTACTGAAGGTTCAACCAAAATATACAGTGCCACAATAGTTTAATGGCTTTTGAAGTTGAAAATTAAGAAGGTCCTTGTAAATCTAAATAACGCCCTTATTCAGCTTCCAATATATGCAGTGGTGCCTCGTATAACGAGTGCCCCGTTTAATGACGAATTAGCATAGCGATGGCAAAATGCCATTGCTTTTGTGATCGCATACCGATGTTGCCTATGGGGAAAAATCGCTTTGCAATGTTTTCCCCATAGGCACCATTTCCCCCCAGCTGAGTGGCGGGAGCCTCCGAAGGAGCGCTCCCTCAGCTGAGCTGGGGGGAAATGCCTGCGGTGGCCTTGGAAGAACACTTCCGAAGGGTCCTTCCGAGGCCACCGCCGGGATTCCCCTTCCCCGCGGCCGGCTTCCCCGGCCATGGTTGGACTCTCAGGAGTCCGACCCTGCCTGGGGTAGCCTGCCGCGGATCGGATCCAAGCCGCGGCAGGAAGGGTGGGGGGATCCGGATGCCTGAGGCATCCGGATCCCACCACCCT